CCCTGGTCCTATTTCTAAGGACAGTAACCAGAATTTAGGCCCCCCAGATTTTCATCCTAGTTTGACTTTAAGCTTTTTGAGTGACTTTGATGAAATGGTGCACTTCAGACTCACTGTTAGAATCCTGTGTGGACATGACCTAGAGATGTTTTGGTTCCATGCATTTTTCTTGATGTGACAGAGACCCTCGGTGTGCAGAATGTCAAATGAGGCTCCTGCTTAGACATAACCTAGAAAATAATTTTAGCGCACTTTTTCTCCTTGCCAGAAGGAAACTGGGGATTCCAATTCTAAGACAGAGTTGCTGTATAAAAGTGTCCCCACATTTAGAGTCATGATGTCACTAAATTAGAGCCTCATGGAATCGGAAGGGAGTGTGTAGCTCACCCAGATGCACCTCCTCTGAAGGCAGGCACCCCCACTGCAACACACGCCCTTCTCAGGTGAGCGTGGAGCCCCTGCCTGCACCAAGTCTAGGGGATGCAGCACTCACAGCTGGGAGGCAGTCCCCTTCTTTGCTGCAGTGTTCTAAATTTTAAGATGAAATCCTTGTGTCTCTCCTCACTGTGGTCTCTCTAACATTCACCCACTGTGCAATTTTGAGTTACACAGGCAGACTCGCAAATAAGCGAGGGCGGCTACATATTCCCCTACAAAATATTCAGATTTACAAGTGGGATGTTGCCGTTGAACAATTTCTAGACCTCTCACCATCTACATTGCTTCTTCTTGTCCCTGTTGTTATGTGGATCTTGGAACTGGTTGTGCTACTAGTTTAGTCAACTAACTAGATAGAGTGCAGTGGGATAACTTCTTCCCATGGTTTGTTTACCACACTTCTACTACTGTCACCTAAGATGACATTCTGTGTTTTAGTTTATAGTGTTTACTCATGTTCCAGATTCATCTACAAACCTTGTCACTAAAGATAGCTGGGGTTTATTGAATATCTACTGTGTTCTAGGCAGAGGAGATACAAAGTCATATAAGGTATACTGCCTAACTTGGGTAGCTGAGAATTTAGTGTGGTTAGAAACTGTGTGTTAGTTTTCCTAATATGCAAAGCACTGTGAGAATACAGGGAGGAAATAGCTTATTCTCTTTAGTTAAATTGAAGGTCTTTCCAAACACACCATCATTTGAGGTGAGTTTTGAAGTCTGAATATCTTGGCCTGACTTCACAGGCCAAGAAGGTGAAAAGCGAATTCCAGGGAGAGGCAATTGCATGCATAAAATAATGTTGATATCAACATGGGATATTATGTAGGCAGTGAAAGCCTGGGGAGATGGAATTAATGAATGCTCTCTGGAGAGTGGTCATGGATATCTTCACTAGTCAGATCCAAGTCTCTTGGGGGATTTCTAGGTGTCCTCTGAAAGATGTCCCACTCACTGAAATCACGGGTCATATCTGATTCCAACAAACTTCATAGTGGTTACAGAGGGCATTGGTGTGGAAAACTTTGCATGCTAGGGCAATTATATTGCATTCACAAAGGGTACTATTTACCTTGCATGTTGGAATTTCATTGTCTTAAATTTTGAAAATGACCTAAGTAAGTTTGGCAAGAGCCTAGGAATAGTTCTGTTAAAGGGCAATTCCATGAGGTTTGCTTCCATAGGTCTTGACACATATCTAACTCAAGGGAAGGAGAATGACAAAGATGCTGGGTTGAATGGGGAGCAGGATTTAAGGGAAAATCCACAGGCAGAATGCTTTGGAGAGACGCTCTGGAGGCCTCTTGAGAGCTGATTGTTAAATTTTCAGGAATTAAACATAGCCATTACTAAAAATTAAATAATGGAAATTTACAACCAAATAAATTATGTTAAAAACAAAGGTAATAAAAACTTAAGACTCCTAATTATTTTGTTACATTTTACTTTTATCTATACCATTGAAGTTGTTTGTGTCACTTGTATCTCTTTGGTGAAAATACCGTATAATGGTGGGCTGCTAAGGATGTCTTCCCATCTCTAAGTTCAGTGATGTCATGCTGATAGTTTGAAGTTGTGTATGATGGGAGTGAAACTCACACCATGAAAACTGTCAAATGCTAGAAGGCAGCAAATGCTGCAACTAGACAGCCAGCAGTTAAATATTTACCAGCAGATCACTAGAGCACTATCACTTTTCTTCAGTATCTGTCAGGCATTGTTGCAAGGACCATATTTACATCAGGAAATTCAAAGCTTAAAGAATTGATGAACTAGATTGATATGAACATGGTGCTATATAGGCAACAATAAAATTTTGCAACTTAGCCTTGGAGGGTTTTTCACCTCACCAAACTCTTAAAATCTTATGTACACAGGGCCTTCATGGTACTACTGGTCACTACAGGACCCAGGCCTGACTTTTATTTGAAAAATGGTTATATTCTTCTATCTTCTGTCATCACGACTTCCATACCTTAAATTTCTTTCTCCTTAGTCCTCCCAACAGGAAGGAATAAACCTACTTTTCAGATTCTCGCTGAGATTTACATGGGTGGCATTAGATTCTTGTGTTAGCCATTCAGAAACTTGGTATTTCTAATGGTTTATTACCAGAACACAGTATTTCTGGGGCTAGAATACCAGATCAATGGAGGGTGGGTGGATAAGATGGGGCAAACATTTTAGATTCAAGAACTCTCACCATTGATTCTACCTATATTTAAATTCATTCTCGTGTTACAAAGCATCTCATCGCACTCCCCTGCTCCAGTGTAAGCTAGTTCTGTGGAGAGACAAGGCTGTTGCCTTCTGTCAAATAACCTTATATCAAATGACCTTATGTAGACCAACAATCAGATCAAGTGTTTCCATCTCCTGGGAAATATGGTATTTTGACAATGGGAGTGTGGATCCACCATGCACTTAACATTGTGTATGGACCGAATAAAAATATTTCTTGTATATATGTGTTATTTGTTATCTTTCAAATGTTCGTGAGTACTATTGTGATTAGCAAAAGGCAAATCTTTAAAAGTGACACTGAATCGTTAGTTTTTTTCTGACAGCATGTGTTCCTTTCAAGGGAGGATATTAAACATAAAATTACTGTTATGAAGAGGTTCCTAGAATTATTGCAATTACAATTTGATAAACTTGATGGGAACGTAATGGATACACACTAAATAAGGAGCTGGATGAGTCTATATTGAGTGGTTTCAGATCCTGGAGATTCCCACTTTTAATTAATCTAACTTTGATCCAGATGGAAGAATTATTTCCAAAGATAGAGAAATGGAAAGGAAATTTCACGAATCAGATTCTACTTTCAGTTCTGCCATTGCTTTGACCAACTCGTTTTTCCTCACAACCATGGTTCCCTTACCCATTAGTGGGTCAGAAACTGCTTGGCTGCAGCCCAAGAACCAACATTTTCCTTTTGGACTCTCAGGCACTCATTAAACATAGGAAAACCCCCTATCAAAATGTGTTAGAATTAATTGTACTTTTTCCTCTCTCCCACAGATGGAGAAACCTTTGAGGTTAGAATCTGTATTTCTTTGACCTTTAACAGCCAGTGCAGAGAAGACTACATTGCTCATGATGGGTGATCAGTGAATCTTTAATTAATTGAATTACTATGAGGGAAAAACCAAATGTAAAACATATGTAAAAGTGGTTTGTAAAGTGTGAATATATATAGATATGTGTATATATATATACACACACATACCTATACAAAAGTAAGGTATGATCAGTGGAATTATGTTTAATTTCTTCATCATCCTTTCATTTATTCTATAAATATTTACCCTTTGAAGTTGTAAGCAGAGGATAATTAGAGAAAACAAATCAATTTTTGCAATAGCCACAGCAAACACCGACTCATTGCTCTGATGTGTAATTTAGGAGACAAGACTTTTGACCAGAAGCTGAAACTAGGAACCTAAAGACACTCTCTGATTTGGGTGAGGAGCATCTCAACAAGAAAGAAGCGAGCTTTTCAGAAAGTCAGAGAAAGGGGCACTTCAGTAAGGAAGGGGTCAGCCTGGGATGACACTGGAAGTACGAAATGAGAACCGATGGACGACTAGTGAGCCATGTCCCCAAAGCTAGATACTCTGTATTCACCAAATGAGCCTACAATTCCCTGCCTTGTTCACTTCCACATAGTAGGTCTTTAAAAAGCTTGACACTTGCAGTAAATTAGTAGTTTTCATTGACTTAAAGTAAGTGGAGCTAAGAGTACATTTTTGATGAGTGAAGTCACCCCAGCTTACTGGGAAATGTACTTCAGTAAATTAAAGTGTATTTGCAGAAATAGTTTGGCAGAATATTTAAATTGGGGCTGTTTTCAGGATAGGTGAAAGCTAAGAAAGTATGATAATTCTGAGGACAAAGTAACTAGATGGTTTTTTAAATTTAAGATTATAGTTGGGGTAGGGAAGGGCAGTGGAACTGATGTTTAATTCCAAAGGGAACATGGGACCTAATAGACTTTCTGAAATATTACACACACACACAGGCCAAGGCTGGATTACATCTCTCTCTCCTTTTTTTAGGAATATTAAGTTAACTAAGTTAACTAAGTTAACTGCTGCCACTCCTCCTTTTTTTGCTGAGGAAGACAGGCCCTGAGCTAACATCCATGCCCATCTTCCTCTACTTTATATGTGGGGCGCCTACCACAGCAGGACTTGCCAAGCGGCACCATGTCCGCACCCGGGATCTGAACTGGCAAACCCCAGGCCGCCAAAGCGGAACATGTGCCCTTAACCACTGCACCACTGGGACGGCCCCATACATCTCTTGATCAGAGAATTCTTCCTTCCTGCTGTTCCTTGAATGGAAAGCCCATCTAGTTCCTTTTATTGAAAGCGCACTTCTGGCTCCCAGGTTCTGGGCTACTTTCAGAGTTCTTGTAGCTGTCAGTGGGTATAGGAGCACTTCCATGGTGGCCTTTCAGAGCTTTGGGCCACACAGGGTAAACTGAGGACTTTCTGTGGTTATTACTCAGAGGTAGAGAGGAAAAAAACCTAAGGAAACTCAACAGTGGTCATCTCACCCAGCCTGATACTCTACCTCCTCACAGAACCACTTGACTGAGCCTGGTCAGGTCACTCAGGCTCATCATAGGGCCTTGTGGAGGCCTTTCAACCGCTGTATCTGCCCCCATATCACTGCCTTGACTGCATCATTGCGGAGAGTAAAGATAACGGGACTGAGAACGGGGGTGAAGACTGATGTCACCAAAGCTACAGTCTTGTTGACTTCCACAGAGTGTGCTTTGCCAGGCCTGACATACAGGAAGATAGTGCTGCTGTAGCCAAGGAAGACCAGAGTGAGGTGAGACCCACACGTGGAGAAAGCCTTCTGGCGGCCGCTGGCAGAGGGGATCCGCAGCACAGTGCTCACGATGTAGCCATAGGAGATGAGGGTCACCAGGAAGGAGCTGAGGACAAAGGCCAAGGCCATCAGGAAGTCCCAGAATTCTAGCAGGCTGGTGTCTGAACAGGACAGCTGCAGCAGAGGTGCATTGTCACAGAAGAAGTGATTAATGGTGTTGCCATGGCAATAATTGAGATGAGCCCGGGAGAGAACAGTGGGCACCATGGCTAGGAAAGGAGCTGCCCAGGCCGGGCACACACAGCCCAGCTCATCAGAGTGCCATAGCGCAGAGGGTGGCAGATGGCCACAAAGCGGTCAAGGGCCATGTCGGACAGGATGAGGAAGGAGGTGGAACCCAGGGAAAAGTAGAAGTAGAACTGAACCATACAGCCAGTGAAGGAAATGACTTTGTGGGGGACCAGCAGGCCTGAGAGCATCCTGGGCACTGTAGTCACGGTCACCAAGATCTCCAACAGGGAAAAGTTGCCCAGGAAGAAGTACATGGGAGTATGTAGGTGGCTGTCGGCTATGATCATGACTATGATGACAGTGTTTCCCATGAAGGCGAGAAGATAAAGCAGGAGGAAGGGCCCATACAGCAGAACCTGCAGCTCACCGAAAGAGGAGAAGCCCAAGAGGACAAATTCAGAAGGGTGGCTCAGATTTGCCATGATCCAGGGGCTAGGTGTCTATACATGGAAAGGCAACAAGAGACAGAGTTGGAGAGGCAGAGATAGTGACACAGAGGTAGAGGGAGAGAGAGAACCAGTGGCCATGAAACCAAGATAGAGACAGAGAAAGAGAACAGGGAGAGAAAGACAAATAGGTGGTCAGTGATAAACAGAAGGACAGAGAGAGAGATACAGAGTGATAACAACATGGGGATATGAGAATCATAGAAAAACAGAGTTAGGGAGTCATAGAAGTAAAAGCACAGAAAGCCATTGATAAGGAGAGAGAAAAACAGAGAGGAGCAGATTAAGGGAGACAACACAGCCATAGACATTAATATTTAGGGAGAGGGCAAGAAACAAAAGAGAAATGGAGAGGCAAGAGCAGGAGACCAAATGTGTGAGAGGGAGAAACAGAGAAAGATAGGGAGGGGAGGGAACATGGAAAGAAAGGGTGAGAATTAGAGTAAGTCACCCAGAAGCCCTCGAGTGTTGGTGCTGGGGGGTCTATGTCGTGACCCAGAGGCTGTGCAGCAAAATCCCTTTTAAAGCGTCTGTTCAGGTCTTTCTGGGCTGTCCCTCTGTTGAGAACCCTCCCTCTTTCACATTTCTCCAGTTCTGATCATAAAACTAATGGAAAGTCATAGCTTTGAGTCAATAAATGAGCTTCCTTTAGGGAGGCCCTCTGGTATGTGTTTGCAAAGACAGAGAGCAGAAAGGACACAGAAGGTCATGGAGATAAGCCTGAGAACCAGGTGGCTGCCCTGCCAGCTACTAGAGGGCACTAGTGGTCTACCTAATGGCCCTGCTCTGCCTCCACAGGCCTCCCCTGCCCCTCCCCGACTCTCCTCCCTCGCACCGAAGCCTGGGCCTGAGCTATGGACCTAGGTTTGAATTCTGGTCTGACAATTGCTTATGGAACACACATGTACTCCTCCCTTAACTTAGCATTTCTGAACCTCAGTTTACTCAGCTCTAAAATGAAGATAACAAGAGAACCAGCTTCAAGGGCTGTTACAAAGATTAAAGAGTAAAAAATTTAGTATAGGGAGCAGCACAAAATCTTGTGCTCAACAAACAGCTGTGGTCATTGTCGTCACTGTTTTTATATGGCCACCACCGACCTCAAAGTTTCTTGGCCCATCACCTCTCCACCTTCTTTAGGGCCAACATATTTGTGAAGGGTGTGTGTGTGTGTGTGTGTGTGTGAATCTTTCTACTCTTTATGCTTTTCCTTAGGATTTAAGGTCACTAAAAGGATACTTTAAAAAACTTCCCATTTTTGTTAAAAAAATAAAAATTATAATACAAACTATCAGGAAAGAGCAAAGGTGCATATAGATATACTCTGCTCCTCTCTGGCCCTATAAAAGCTTCATCTGAGGCTGTGTTTTGGCCGTCAGCAAAGGCATTCCAATTGAAGGAAGAGGGTTTGTCCCCATCTACTTTGTACCCAGCCTACTGAAAAACCTTAACAGTAGGGCTAAACCTACACCCAGTGCTGAGAAATTCAACCTCATTCCTTATGCCTGTGCTGCACAAAGGCCTGACCCATGTACAAACCTAAGCCACTCACCTTAGCCTCTTAGCACAGTGCCTTCTCGAGCTGTTCACATTAAGAAATTCATATCTAGAGATTCCTGCCTATTGGGTCCACTATGTGACATGAATGAAAAGAGATAGGTGGTCCATTGCCCCTGGTTGTATGTTCCAGCAGAGGAGGACAGGGGCTTCGGCACAGCTAAAATAGGGTGGCACTGCTTAGTGGCTTCACAAACTACAACATCTCCAAACCTTATGCCAATTTCCTAATTAAAGGCTCACCCTGTGTCACCACAAAGCGTGGCAACATTGATGTGGGGCCGGAACACGGGAAAGAAGTCCTTCTGGAGACCAGAGGGGAAAAGGTGCTGTTTGTGTCTCTTCTCTTCCCAAGGATGAGCATTCGTGGTTCTCTCTATTCGCCCTGTCTCCAAGCCCTTGGTTTCTTGAAGTGGTTTAGAGCTGAGCTTCTACTGGATGGAAAACTTAACTCCTGCAGAGCGTTCTCTCTGGGAATAATGGGAAAGCAAGGAGCCTTCTGGGGATTATGAGGCACTGGCGTTACTCCCTAGAATAACACGTCTTATGGGCTGAGGAAGTAACATTTGAGAAAAAGATCTGAATGAAGAAAAAGGTAGAGACTAGATACACCTAAGCAGCTGATTATTTCCATGTCATTGCCTGCCTCCTGGCCCTTTCTTTCTTCCTAGAATTGTTGAAGAAAAATGAGATAATTGAAAAAGCACAAAAGAACTTCTCAGCTGGACTAAGATTGTGCCAGTATGGGTCCACTGCAGAAAATGGGGGATAGAAACAGTAAGCTTAAGAGGAGATATATTCCTCTCAGAGACAAAGCCCCTGAGAGATGCATCTTGGGAGCTGGCCAGACTGAAGGGCTTTTCTCTGACTCCCGTGAGAAGATACACACCTTGGGGATGAAGGTGAAGGCAATATAGCAGAAGATCCAGGTCCCCAGCAAATTCTGAGTCACAGTCCTTCATCTCAGAGTTCAGACTTTATGGATGCCACTCAATTAGCCCCACCCATAGATAGAAATAGTTACAAAAAAGCTTTCCAATGAGGATAGTGTAAATGGGTCCTAATTTTAAGAACCACAAGGGCTGGAAGGGGTTGGCCAAGCAATCTTTCCGTAGGACCTGAATCTGAAACTTTTCTGTTTTCAAGACAGAACCATTGATAGTAAAGAAGATTTTAGGTCATTCTGGACAGACATGGGGAATAATGGTAGAAAGGAGCATATTGCTACTAGGGACCTCAGGCAGGCAGACAGGATGGCTGATCAAAGCAGAGTTGGAGACAGAACATCTTGAGAATTGAGAGGCAACCTGTAGGCTGGGGTCATGTGGGCCTTCATGACTGGATTAGTTTTCTATCACTTTTGTAGCAAATTACCACAAATTTGGTGGCTTTAAGAATACAAATGTATCATCTTACAAACTCTGTAGGTCAGAAATATGACACAAGCCTAACAGGACTAAAATCAAGGTGTCATCAGGGCTGTGCTCCCTATGGAGGATCCCTGCTTTTTCTAGCTTCTGGAGGCTTCCTACATTCCTTGATTCACAGTTCCTTTCCTCCATCTTCTAAGCCAGCAACACTGCATCTCTCTGACCGTTCTTCCACACATCATATCTCCCTCTGACTCTGACCTCAGATGGGAAAGGTTTCCCCTTTTACAGGTCTTTAGGATTAGATTCAGCCACCTAGATCATCCAGGATGATCCACTGTTCAGTCATATCTAGAGATATGACTCCAACTGGGAGTGGCGTGAGAGTTAATGGTTGGGAGGGGCATGGAAGGAGAGAATGAAAATGTTTGGTGGTAGGGACAGAAGTACCTGTGGGCAAATTTTAGGGAATTGCTTAACTCACCTCCCATTTATGCTGTTGGTGATGGAAGGAGGCAAGGAAGGATTAAATGAGCAACTCTGGGTGCCAGATTATTTTTTTTAAATACTGCAGGACTCCTCTGTTTTCATAATGCCTTCTGGCTCGCAAAGCTCCATATTACTTCTCTGATCCCCTGTACCCTCTTGTTTCCCTGACCAATTCAATTGTCTCTTAATACAGCCCTATAGATTTTCAAAGCTATCAGAGGCTAAAGAATGGGACGTTACCTCCTCAACTCTGACTTACCAAGAAGTATGAGGACTGGCTGGCTGCCTGCTAATACTCAGGAATATGTAGCTGCTGGATTTCCAAATTGCAAGAAGGCATTCTGTGACAACACCTGCAGGCTGTAGGATGGAAATGGGCAAGAAATGGTACTTTCCTGAGGGTTGATGTGGGTCACCTGGAGAACCAAAGAGTCTAACAAGAGGGGACTTGCCTGGTGACGGATCGGGGTGGGGCTTAGTACAGTTGTGTGGTTTGTTGATTGTAAAAAGATGCTGACTGAGGGAATGCATGGGGGCTGAAAGCCTGCTGTGACTCCCTAGCCCAACTGTGGGCTCTAATTAGGAGCTGCATCCACTTAATGGAAGGGCAAATATTTTATGCAGAAGTATATACTTTATTTGTCAAGCCTTACTCTTCCCAACTACATCAGCTCAGAGGGGAGCATTTTCCTAATTCACCAAAGGCCTCTTGCTGCAGGAGATCATAGCAGCATTCTTGCTAGGCTTTGAGCCTAGGAAAAATAAATCCCAAATGGGTGACTGGGAGATATGCGATCTGCTGACTCTCATAATTATTATACCAGATTGCTTGTGCTTTGGAATCTCAGGCCAGAGGGGAATATGTTATGGGGCATGAAGGCAAGGGGCTTAGGAACGCTGGGCCCTTGCAAGAACGGACTGCCGCCTGCATACCTTGCTGATTGTTCTTTTTTTTTTTTTTTTTTTTTTTTTAAGATTTTATTTTTTCCTTTTTCTCCCCAAAGCCCCCCGGTACATAGTTGTGTATTCTTCGTTGTGGGTTCCTCTCTAGTTGTGGCATGTGGGACGCTGCCTCAGCGTGGTCTGACAAGCAGTGCCATGTCCGCGCCCAGGATTCGAACCGCCGAAACACTGGGCCGCCTGCAGCAGAGCGCGCGAACTTAACCACTCGGCCACGGGGCCAGCCCCCTTGCTGATTGTTCTTAAGATACTCCCAAGAGAATGACCTGGGATAGGGCTGGTGTGCTTCGGGGGGATGAAGACTAGAACCTTTGGACTTTGGCTTGCGTGTCCCTGTAGGCATGAGTTCCTGCTATTGTGCATACTTGTGATTCTTTACCCGCAAATAAATATGTGGTGATCCGAGGGACCTCACCTCAGTCCTTGAGGCTGATGGTCCCCTGTCCCATTGAATAATATAGATTGTGTCCTGTCTCATAATTCCGTCCACCCCTTTGGCTGGCTGCCTACCTGGTCTTGGCAGCAGCCTCTGATGTGGAAGGTGCTGCCCTAGGCTGGTGAGGGAGAGCTGAGAGATCAGAGGAAGAGGCTGAGTGGAATCTTGGCCTGGGTTCCTTCTATGCACTTTCTTCACATTCCCTATCCAGT